GGGAAATCAACACATAATGTCACCATACTTTCACGTAGGGTGAAGGACCGAAGAGAGAGAGAGAGAGAATAATACCCCACGTGAGTATTTACGTAGAAAAGGAGAGGCAACTCTCTATATATTTTCGCCTACAAATAAATCTTGACACATTTAATAATCTAGGAAAATACTTGCAGTGTTTCATCCATGTATTACTAAATTTATAAGGCCAATTTCGTATGGCGGATAATTATGGGCCCCGGCCAATAAGAAATAGGAAGTTTCTAAGCAAGTTTGCGCGAACAAGAGCGCTAAGCGCTAAGAGGAGGAATTTTCGGTCCGTAGTCCGTCCCGGGAGAGATCCTTGCGGTCTGAGGAACATCCATTCCGACTCATATCCTCCCCGGTCCCGCTTCGAACCTACACTGTGTTACGTGAAGTTCGCCGCTCATGATCTATGTCGCTATTAAATTCAAACATCTTCGGATTGTTGGGAATTGCAATGTATTATCCTGGCCCCGAGACATTTTCGTCGCCGGCAGGAACGAAGCCACGATATGAGAATTAATGAACTCCAAAGTCCAAACGATTACGATTTTCGTGGCGGCATTCCTTACGGGCTCTAATGTATTTACTTAGTGCGGCATATTACCAACTTTTAATTAGGACTTTATGTTCGCTCGGAGATCTTGGTCGACCTTATAAATAACTGAGTAAGACGGCGCGGCGGTTACAGTGGATACGTAAAAATAATCAGTTCTTATGAATTCGTATGAGCATTTTTGGAGGCACGTTTGTTTAACAAATATAGAATTGAAAAGTTCATAGTTGTTCTCGCTCATGAATATTTTTAAGTAATTATTCCTAGTCTTCATATAAGAAATATAGCCTCTAGTAGTGCTATCGGGCTCAGAGAACGTTACTGCTGGACAGAGAAACCTTATGGTCATACTAGTAGATTGGAAGATAACCGAAGGGTATTATTGCTAGACCATCAGATTATGATACCTATACAGAGAAAATGCTATCGTATCTATATATACACATATATAATCGAAGGCCTTCTACCCGAAGGTGTAGGCTTCTAGCAGCTACTTTCCATAAATAAAATTTTGCCACTTCTTCTCGTCCAGGGCCATGCTTGCTGCTTCGGCGCAGCCGATCCCTCTAGTTTTAAGTAATTTTGCAACATTTTGTTCCCAAGTAGTTGCAGGTCTACCCTTTTTCCTTTTTTCTTGCCTTTTTGCCTCCCATACTCTTCTTACTGGTCTCTCTTTGTTGAGTCTTTTCAAATGTCCGTACCACCTCAACTGGCAGTTTTCGATAGTTGTTAGTACTGGCTGGACTTTCAGCTGCTCTCTAATATGGGAATTGCGTAGTTTATTCATCCTCGTAACCCCTAGCACTTTTCGTAGGTATTCATTTCTACTGCTTGTATTAAGCTTTCTTGTCTCTTGGTGAGAACCCAACTCTCACTACCGAATGTTAATATTGGTACGAATACTGAATTAAACACGCTGATTTTGGTCTTCAATGATACCTCTTTTTTACCTAGAAATGTGTTCTTTATGCTATGGTATAGATTTGCAGCGCTTTGGACTCTTGCAGTTATCTCTTGGTTTTGATGTCCCTGGCTTTCTATTTGGACTCCCAGATATTTGAAAGAATTTACCTGCTCTATTATTTGATCATTTATTTCTATGTTAACCATTTCTTCACTCTTTCCGCTAATCATTATTTTTGTTTTGTTCTAATTTAACTTAAGGTTTTTGGTAGATAATTTGTTGTTCCATGTATTGAGATTCTTTTTAAGTTCTGTTTCGCTCCTTGCAAATATAACGATGTCGTCAGCGAAAGCGCATTCATTGATCCACACAGGTTGCTTATTTTGGTACCCTACAAGAAGTTTAGATGTCTCTTGCCTAGTTTCTTTCATTACATCATCCATAACCAAATTGAATAGAATTGGGCTTAGGACACCTCCCTATCGAACACCCGCACGAATAGAAAACTCTTCTGAGTACATATTATCAGTTTTTACATAGCTTCTAGTGTCGGAATAAAAACTCATTATTGCTCTTCTTAAGTTTTGGTCAATGTTTTTATTTATTAGGGTTTTCTGAACTTCAGATCTTGGAAGTCTGTCAAAGGCTTTTTCAAGATCAAGAAAGGCTTGGTAAACTTGGATATTTGTATTTCTAATTTTTTCCATTATTTGTTTAATTGTAAATATATGATCGTGTATACTACAGCCCTTCCTAAATCCACTCTGCGATTCCTCAAGTTGGTTGTCAATTTGATTTACGAGTTTTGCTTCCAGTATTCGCTCATAAACTTTAGAGGCAATGCTAAGAAGTGTGATTCTTCGATAATTATTACAATTCCTTTTATTACCCTTTTTAAAAATTGGTACGATGACCCCTATTTTCCAATCATTTGGGATTTTTCCTTCGTTCCACGCTAAAGTACAAATCTTTGTTAGTATTTCTTCTCCCTTTTCTCCCATGTTTTTCAGCATTTCTGCGGTGATGCCGTCATGTCCCGCCGCCTTTCCTTTTTTAAGTTTCTGTATGGTGCAATGGACGTCCTCTAACTCTATCATATCTTCCTCTTGAGATGTGGCCCTACTTTCCACGACTAAATTTTCCTGATCACTCTGCCCTTCAAAAAGATCCTCAAAATATTGTTTCCATCTCTTAATAATGTCTTCTTCATTCATTAGTAATATTCCATTCTTATTGTTTATTTGGTTCATCTATCTATCGTATCTACAAAGATAATATCATTACACCAAAGATACACTACTTTCCCCATTCCTCGACTATAACAGTATGTGAATCGAAAGGAGTCATGTTATTGCTTACGGAATATACACTATCACTGTCTCAACTATAGAAATTCATTGGTTTCCAATACATCATACATCATTTGACGATACCGTAGAGACTCAGAGTAGGTTGCTGCTGGACAGAGAAACCCTATGGTCATACTAGTAGATTGGAAGATTACCGAGGGGTATTATTGCTGGATCATCAGATGTCCGGCCGCCTCGGCGGCCTCGATGGCCTCGATGGCCACCGGCTGGGATCTTGGTTAGTTATTCAATTATTCTCGAAATTGGCTGCACAAATTTGCTCATAACTTCAGCGTTCTGAAGCGGTGCTTCGTCTTGCTGGAAAAATATGTTTTCGAGTTCTATTAGGGGCAGATCATCAATACGGGGTCCAAAGCATTTCTAGTTAAAAGAGATGAACTTTAAAAAATTCCGTATTTCGAAGCAGACTATAACAAAATATCAAGTGTGCTATATTTTTGGAAAGGTAATTTTAAGTTTTTTTCGTTTAATTAAAAATATACAGGGTGTCCCAAGTAAAAAATCAACTTTTCTGTTGATAACTCTTAAATTATATTAATTAAAAAAAATATACTTAAACCATTAAATTAAATATAAATTAATTCTACGTAAAAAAGTGCCTTGGAAATGTTTTCATAAAAATACAAAATTTTCCATAGAAAAAAAGTTAAAGCGATTTTTTAAAAATGCACATTTTTGAAAAACACTCCCTAATAAACGGTAACATATATCGATGTGCGGTTTTGACCATCATATTTTTGATAAAAGTTGAGCTCCAGACACCATTATTAGTTTTCGTCTATCTCCTATAAAAAGGGCGTTTTCCTTTAAAAACGTCGAATTTGACACACCCTGTACATCATGCGTTCAGCTTCACAATTTAGTTACGTCTTGTGATACTTTATTTCGTCCCATTGCTGCCAAAAGTCACTAACTTACTTTTTATTACTTCCGAGAAAAATGCGTCTTAAAATGAATTGCATTGCATTAAGATGTTGTAGTTAGTAACTATTCGGTATTAAAATAAAACATAAATAGCCAGAAATCGTAGTTAAGGACTTTTGCAATCGATTCTCCGCTTCAAAACATAGTTAGTGATTGAATTTGGTTGTTCGGAAAAATGTTAGTTAGTGACTTTTGGCAGCAAGAGAACGATTTGTTAATTTATTAACGAGTCGTTGTAATTTTCCCTATAGCTTTGTAAATTTTTAAGTGCAAGTTAGAAACACTTGCATTTTTGGTAAAAATATATGGAATTGAGTTGGTGTTCGACAGTCGTTGCGCTATTAGAACTCTGAATTCAAAAATTGATATTTCGAAATCCATTAGAAACCAAGATTACCCAAAAAAAGTTACACGATTGCTGAAAATTGCCATGCACTAAAAGAAAATGGACGGATTTTTTTAAATTTTTTAATAGAAAAACAAAATGCCTATCGATTTTTTCTCATTTAAACGCCTTCTAAAAGATCCGAACCTCAAAATAAAAAAAAGTTTTCTTAAAAAATTAACGCGATTACTTACTGATGTTTTGTCGTAATAAAAAATATGGCCACCCTACGATATCCTTATAATTCTATTTCAGATGCTCAGAAACATATCTAATGATTTTATCTAGTTATCTTTTCGAAAAAAAAGTCTCTTAAAAATAAGCGGTTTGCGATTGTGATTTAAATTTACTTGATAGGGAAAAGCGTACCGGATGAATGTGTTGCAACGCCGCAACGTCGCAATTCTCTCACTCCGACTTAATAAGATCCCTATGCGAATTACTTCCACACATGTAAATACCCCGACCCAAAAATAAGAGTTGTCAGCACGGTATAAGAAATATGGCCTCTAATAGTGCTATTGGGCTCAGAGAACGTTGTTGCAGAGAAGTAGATTGTACTAGTAGATTGGAAGATTACCGAAGAGAAGCATTCCAACTCTAGTTCCATAATGTTGATTTTTTGCAGTAATTTGTTAATCTCTCATTCATTTCTAAATGAATGAGAGAATTTGTTAATCTCTCATTCATTTCTAAATGAATGAGAGATTAACAAATTACTGCAAAAAATCAACATTATGCTATTTACTGATAGATCCAAGATGGATTCAGGCGTAGGCGCGAGAATGATGAAATCGCCAGGTAGTATTGGCTTATAACCACTAAAAATTCACTTACCTTTAATAGATTCCAGGAACTGTCCTTTCCAGGTTATTCCTTCTTTCATTTCATCATCGTCTACATCAGAATCTTCATCCGAGAAATCTCCTATCTCAGTTTTTACTCTAAGAAACTAGATAAAGGTGTGGTTCTTTTACAAATGTCTACCTGAGTCTCAGTTTCAGTGACTATGATGTTGTTATTGATATTTACAATGGTTGTGTGCTCGACATCCCTTAGAGTAGAAGACTTATTGGAAGTATTAGAGAAGTTGCTTGTATTATTAGCTTTTTCGATGATATCGTTGTGATTATCGTCAGAATTACTTTCAGGTACGATGGAACTTGAAGTTTGAATGGCCATGTTGGGGGATAGTAATCTGGTATCGTCTAAACGGCTTAGTTCAACTGAAATAAAGACAAAAATATATTAATATAATAATAAATAATAAACAACGCTTTATTGTACATAAAGCCAAAACGGCTTCATCGACAAAGCATATACAAAACAAACAAAAGCACAAAAAAAATACAAACAACAAAAAATACACAATACAAATAATACAATTCAAATAAATTTAAGTCATTAAAATAACAAAAAGAATATACATGGACAATTGCAGAACAGTAAGCAGTAAATAGATATAATTTTAGAGTTACAAAATATTAAATACTTGACTTTTGACCAGTGTGTGAGATGATCAAAATGTTAAAATTCAAAATTGTTCATAATTGAACATCAACAAAAAAGTCGTTTACCGTATATAGGGCTCTCTCCAGTAAGTATGATTTTACAGCTTTGCGAAATGCGGGAAAGAATGAAGGCGACTTGATATTCAAAGGCAGATGATTGTACATTTTTCTGGCATTCTACAGTATTGAACCTTTAACTAGTTCTGAGCTCGGGGTTGGCAGATAAAGATGGTACTCCGCATTCCTAAGTGGATAATGATGTGACTCAAAAAGGGGATAATAGGCTAGTCTAGAGGTTGATAAGTTAAGTTCCTTAGAAACTTATCTTAGTGCAAGCTTCGATGTGCTAACAAGGCCATTTTAATGAGTTGTCTACAACAAGTCCTAAGAATTTCACAGAGTCCACGACGTCAATAGTGGTGTTATTAAGTACAAAAGGTTGTATAGTACTTTTATATGACAAAGCATTAGTTTTTGATAGGTTGAGGCATAGGAGATTAGAATCGCACCAAAATTTAATGGTGCGTAAGTCACTGGATATAGTATTATATAGTGTCGTAACATCTGGGCCGCTCCAAGTGAAACAAGTATCGCCCGCAAAGAGGCAGATTTTACCGTTAATGTCTAGATTTGCAATGTCGTTGATAAACACCAGAAAGAAAATAGGGCCAAGTACTGAACCCTGAGGGACACCACATTCTATAGGCTTACAAGAAGACATAGACGTAACAATCCTCCCAAAGTGGCTTCTGTTGCCAAGATATGACTTAAGCCATTCGAGCGGCACTCCCCTGAATCCATAGTATTGCAATTTGTTAATTAAGATATTATGATTTACACAGTCGAAAGTCTTAGAGAAATCACAGAAAGATTGATTTTATATTTTTGATGGGATCTATGTAAAGAAACGTACGTCATCCGGTACATCACGTATTCAAAAATATCAATCCCTTTATTTAATATTAAAAAAGTTTCGTGTTCGATAAATTCCAATTCGTTTTTATGCGGCATTACTACGCGTATAAAAGATGCACGGGCCGCCGGCAACCCACATACACAAATTTCACTTTGTGTATCATATTGGTGGAATGGCTCCAATAGAAAATCATGGCCGAAAGAGAAGGCAGCTCGTGAGAGTGACCGCCAATAAACCTTTTGTCGAAATGCACCATCCGTGTTATCCTGCATAAAGATGCGGACACACGAACTCAGGAGAACGGTATTACGTCGTCCGTAGCAGATTCGAAATAATATTGTCCTTTCCTGGCGGGGAGAAAAATATTATTTTTATCGTCGAGTCCGTCTCTCCTCCAGCTTCGTATAGGATTAAATCGGAAAACATGAATATATTATTAAGACAGCGATGGTATTTTATACCGTGGCTTTGTTATGTAAAGTTTGCCAATACTTCTTACTAACTTAAATATAGGTATATTATACTTCTATAGGTATATTATAAATATATAGGAGTTTTAAATAAATGCAGATATTTTCAGGGCTGGTAGATCTCGATAAAAGAAACATATTTTCTCTTTACCATTTTTCAGATAAGTCCAAAATAACCAAGTTATTTAAGATTAAAAATTAAAAAAACATTTTTTTTTTTGAAAAAAATTTGAGAGCCACCGGATTTTTTCTGCATTTGCATCCTTTTTAGTGTCGTAACCATAGAGTAAAGCCGTAACTATGGTAATATCATATGGGCTTCCTATTATTGAACATTCACCAAAATCTCATACCTTCTTTTTAAATCCAACTAATAAATTGGAGATTGAACAAATTGTTAAAACCTTTAAAACAGAAAAGGCACCAGGGTATGTATGATCATATCACATGTAAAACTTTAGAATCCATCATACACCTCATTTTAGAGCCTTTTGCGCATATGGTTAATTGTTGTTTTTCAAGTGGGATTACTCCTCAAGAGTTTAAATTGGCACTAGTAACACCAATATATAAGAGCGGGAATAAATACCAATTAGAAAATTATCGTCCCATATCTTTAATAACTGTGTTCACTAAAATATTTGAAAAGATCATTAGGGATAGATTGGTAAAATATTTGGAGAAATTTAATATAATAAGCAATAGACAATTTGGTTTCCAAAATAACAAAAGCACACAGGATGCAATATATTGTCTAACAAAACAGATATACCAGTCAGTTGATGAAAGGAAACCTGCACTTTGTGTTTTACTGGATTTGTCGAAGGCTTTTGACACAGTAGACCATTTGCTGCTTTTAGAAACTTTGGAAAGAATCGGGATTAGAGGTATTCCACTAAATTTATTTAAGAGTTACCTTGAAAACCGAACGCAAATAGTTCAGATTGGTGTGGACCAGTCAGTGAACAATTACCGGTAACCTGTGGTGTTCCGCAGGGCACTGTGCTGGGTCCGGTCCTTTTTACTATTTATGTAAATAATTGGTAGAACATGGATGTTGATGGTAGTGTAATAAGTTTTGCAGACGATACTGCGGTTTTTTTTTCTGATACGGACTGGAACAAATTACATAAAAAGGCAGAAACTGAATTGCAAAAGTTGTTAACTGGTTAACCAATAAAAAGCTCACAATTAACTACGAAAAGACTAAATTTTTGTCATTCTGTTCATACAGTAAACATCTACCAAATTTCAAGACACTTACAATGACGTACAATAATGTTATTATCAATATCCAGTCAGCACCAAAGGTTAAATATCTGGGTATAGTAATAGATGAGCATTTGAAGTGGAATTATCATATAGAAAACATAGCTAATGTACATAGATCCATGTTTTATAAATTCAAAATTTTATCATCCTTCTTGGACATTCAACATTTAAAAATAATTTATTATTCGTTGATTGAAGCTCGATTACATTATGGTATAATTGGATGGGGTGGGGTGAAAACTACAAATTGCCCAAAAAAGAATATTAAAAATAATTTATAGAAAACCTATTAGATTCTCAACTGATATGTTGTTCAATGAACTAAAAATATTGGATATTCGACAGATATATTTCTATAACCTTTATACATATATATTTTATAACATTTTAATGAACAGTGCTTTCCATAAAATCAATAAAATGAAAAATAAAGGAAATAATATACAAGTACTAATTTCTTTCGAAAATCGACAACTATGAAACTATGAACCCTTCCTGGACACAAACGGTACATTGTGAGACAGGAAATTGTAGAGAGAAACAATCCCTATAACATAGGATACAACATTTTAATGAACAGTGCTTTCCATAAAATCAATAAAATGAAAAATACAGGAAATAATATACAAGTACTGATTTCTTTCGGAAATCGACAACTATGAAACTGTGTACCCTTCCTGGACACAAACGGTACATTGTGAGACAGGAAATTGTAGAGAGAAACAAGCCCTATAACATAGGATACAACTTTTTAATGAACAGTGCTTTCTATAAAATCAATAAAATGAAAAATATAGGAAATAATATACAGGTACTGATTTCTTTCGAAAATCGACAACTATGAAACTATGAATCCTTCCTGGACACAAACGGTACATTATGAGACAGGAAATTGTAGAGAGAAACAAGCCCTATAACATAGGATACAACTTTTTAATGAACAGTGCTTTCCATAAAATCAATAAAATGAAAAATATAGGAAATAATATACAGATACTGATTTCTTTCGAAAATCGACAACTATGAAACTGTGTACCCTTCCTGGACACAAACGGTACATTGTGAGACAGGAAATTGTAGAGAGAAACAAGCCCTATAACATAGGATACAACATTTTAATGAACAGTGCTTTCCATAAAATCAATAAAATGAAAAATATAGGAAATAATATACAAGTACTGATTTCTTTCGAAAATCGACAACTATGAAACTATGGTGGACTAAATGATGGAGATAAACAATTGTGATTGGTTAAAATTTTATTTTAAGATGAAACTTTTGTTAACAACATTCGAATGATGAATTGAATAATGACAAAGCAAGATACATCTGTCTAAAAAAGACAGCGATTTAGAGTGACAATTTGGTTGTGTAAAATTTAGAGTGATAATTTTGATTATGCAAAAGAAATACATATTCTATGAGTTTGCCTAACATGAATAATGAACAAAATATTTAAACAAAAACAGACCACACAAAACAAATTGTTAGTTAGTAGCAGTTAATAGTAGTCAGATATATAGATGTAGTAGCATTTTGGTTTAATGGCCACAGCTGCCAGGCTATCCGGCCGAGTGATTGAATTATCGTTTTTTAATAAAAATTTAAAAAAAAACATAAATTTATAAAGCTAAAATAATATACGGTTTTATATTATCTCTAATTTTTTTTAAGTTTATACCAAAACTTAACTTAACCAAACCAAAAACTTAACTTAACCTAACTTACTTTATTCACTTTAAATATTAGTGCACACAAAATTATTTTATTTTGTAGATTTCACTTTCAGTGGCGGAAAAACCCGAAGAAATTTTACAAGAAAAATATATTAAAGTCTTAATTTTTTATGATATACAAAAAGCAAATTTAGGATTTTAAAATACTGCAAAACAGACCAATTTAAAAGCGGTCAAACTTCGATAAATCCGAGAAAAATCGCCCTTATTCACCTGAAAATCATTTCGGCGCCCGATTCCACGGCACGAATCCAATCTTTTCCGGAAAACTTTAGCACGGGATCACAATCGCTTTTCACCTTTAGTCCGGCCATCAATTCT